TAACCACTTTCCTTCACATGTGATGAAATCATTTTTCCACCTGCTTGTATGCAAGCTCCAACTTTTATCTTTCCAGCTCACCAACGAAATAAAATGAAAGAATATTAGATATTTCTTTAAGGTTTAAATATATTTTAGTTTTTATTAATAAAGACATCATACAACTTAATATTAAAAAGGCCTTGTTTCAAAATACTAACCCCTGTATTTTCATTTTGATAGGTAAAAGTAATAATAAAATTCCAAAAAGGGCTCCAAAGAAGAATCTTTACCTTGAAAAAATAAAAGAAAACATTTAACTGAGTGTTCAAAACAATTTGGTTACAACTTTATAATTGACCAGCTTTCCTGATTGTGCAAACTAGAAACAGATTTCAACACAAATCAGCATTTTATTAAGTCTTCTTTAAGATTTTGTATCTGGTATTTCTTGGCAAACAGAAGTAAGAAGAGTTTCTTTTTAAGAAATACCATTAAGAGAAAGAGATTAAACGCAGAACTCCACCTTCCCTGTATTGTTATCTGAGCGTAAAAATAAAAAAGTTGGTAAAGCATGCTCCAAAGCTTATTCACCATCATACTTCACATCAGTTTGGCTACGAACATGAATGAGCAGTGGGAACTTCTATCACGTTCCAAGAATCACATTTTATACATAGTCAGAGTTCTTACTTAGTAAGTGCCAAAAGTAACAAACACAGAAGTTTGACACAAAACTTCAGTTTTTGGATAAGATTAACAAAAAGCAACAGCTTACACCTTAGCTTTCAGCTTCAAGGGGTCATTAAAGATCAAGCACACAAGTCATCAACATGGCCCTGCTTTCAAACTCCGCAATTAATCATTAGTTGAATCATGGAGGACTTCATCCCTTAACAGATGAACAGACAGCTCCACATACGGAGAGCAGCCGTTAATCATGAAACTTTTTTATAGGTCCCACCTTTTCCCAATCACATGATGGCTCCTGCTGGTCCTTTTTGATGAGGGTGAAAAATGCTGAAGTGACCCAGAAGTAACGCCTCACCCCAGTCTAAACAAAGTATCCTTTAGCAAAGTCTAATACAAAGAAGATAGTTTAAGCTGCATGGGTTTAACTATAAAAGAGAAATAAATTCTGGTGGGAAGATAAAAAAGAACAAAACAAAAACACAAGAAACATTGGGGAACATTTATAATATGATAACATGATCCAATTGTCATGTATCACGAGTTATTTGCTTTTTTCTAAGCAAGCAGAAAAACAAGTTATTTCTGCTGGTGTTATCACAATTCCATATGAAAGATAATTTTTTTTGATGAAGAAATTAAATATTGTATGTTTCTGATTATGGCTGCAAGTAACAAGTATTTTGCTAATCGTTTAATCTGTCAATTATTTTTCTGATTATTATTATCGGACAGCCAAAGGTTCTTTAAAGGAGTTTTTTCTAAATAAATTAATCCAGGTGAAACTAAAACTTTTCCACTTTAGGAGTTCTGGATAAAGCATATTTACAGAAGAAAATAATTTTCAATCTTAAATGCAAACCGTTAATATATTTTTTCAAAATATTTGAATAATTACTGCACTAATTGGGTTTCTCTGTCAGCTAAAGGCATGTTTTAGAGTCTCTATACTTAATTGGTTACTAAATTAGTTGACGATTATTTTAATAATCATATTTCTGATGCACGTAATTAAGCTATTTTTGTTCCTCTACTCTTAAAAAAAACACAACCAGCTAATATTAACTCTTTAGTTGAGCTACTTGCAGTCATCTGCTTTACAGACATGAATCTCCTATTTGTAATCAGTTAGATATAAGGGTGGCATTTCTCTATTCTCTAAGCCATAACTGTGATTGGAAAAGTGCTTTCTGACTGTCAGTGTGCAGCAACAGGTGGGGGTGGGGCAGCCCAGTGTTACTATTTAGAAACTTTTGTCACTTCAAAAATATTTTTCAAAACTAATACTTTTCAAGACCTTTTGAAAACGAGCTCTTGCCTCCATGAAAGAAAAAAGACTAAAGTGACTACGGCCCAGAGCTTTCGGTTCATTTGACAGATAAATTAACCATAACTGCAAGTTGGCTATTAGGTTACATATGATATCTTGCGGTATTAACCAAAAAAAAGAAAGAAAAAGAAAGACATTTGACACGTTTTTATTCTCTGGGAACATAAAGTTCCTACAACCATCAAAGAGATCCACCCCTTAAAGCCCCTAATACATCTTCTATACATCCGTCTGCTTGAAGAGGAGACAAGTGGTGATTACACAGGGCCTACAGAGGTGCCTGGGAGTACACCATACATTTCTAAGCTGTTTTGTCAGGCTAAAGGTCATCAGACAAGAATCAGCCCCCACAGGGGGGAGGAACATGTATCACAAACAAGATTATGACTGCATCCCAAAGAAACTGTGGCACGTGCAGCAGGGATTTCAACAATAGGTCTGTGAGGAAGTGTCAGGTAGATAAAAGAGACATGCACACAATGTCATAACTAGACATATCCATAGACATGACTCCGTTGGACACAGAAAAGGTGTATGTTCTGAGGGTACGTCGACTCGAGTAAGGGGTTTATTCAAATCTAAAAGCTTCTGGTGAAAAGGCAAATAAAAACAGTGTAGATTTACTGTCTATGCCATCATCTGAGATGATAATAATCTAGTTTTCCATCACCGTTAATGAGAACATGGGCTGAACTATCTAAGAAGTTTCTTTCCTTTTAAATTTTATAACCAGATCAAAGTACATTGATTTCCTATAATTCTCTTTTGTACAGGCTAAGTCTAAATCATGTTGTGTGTTTATGAGCCTCCTCTTTAATGTGGGGTGGTCTGCTGACCCTGGTCACAGAGGACACACGTTGACACCAGCGATGACCTGCCCCCACAGGGTGGTACCGTCTGATACAGTCATAATGACGCTCACTTTCTCATGCCAGTGGCACAATGGTGCAGGGCATCTGCTCTGAGGAATGAGGTACTCACACAGCCACACATTCACCTCTTTGTCTGGTTGCTAACAAAAGGCTGCAGATACACAGGATGGACAGACTGCTTCAGCAGCACATTCTTCTGAACCACATCACCACGGTCAGAGTTGTGTTTAGACATAAAAACTGAATAAAATACTTTTTCACAAAAGTTAGTTTTCCCTAAAAGACATTTTCTTCTCTCTACATTCAGTGGTATCAATCAAGGGTTCTTAAGATCCACAGTACACCTAATTCAAATAATTGCATTACAGTACCTCACCTGTATGCCAAACCCCCCCTTCCAGATTATGAACCCATAATGAACACATTCTTAAAGCTTAATGATGTAAAGGTAAGCCAAAATAGACCAACGGCCAAGTTTTTTTTTTTTGCATGTTTCAGATGAAACCGACCAATTTTTGCCAATTTCCCATTTCTCTTAGAGCATAAATGAAGCCGTTGTTTAACTGGAGAGCTCCTTCAGTGACAGACTGCTGCACCCTGAATGCACCAGGGAATGTTATCACAGATCCTTCCTCCAAGCAGCTGGAAGACTGTTCCCAACAACCACAATAAGTTGTTACATTAATGCTGAATTTTGCATAATTTTAAAAAAAATTTCCTTGGTCACCTAAATAACATACTGCTTTCATTTTGCACATCTTTGGGGTCATTGCTGTTTTCCAGTATCTACTACTACAAAAATGTAACACCACATTTTTCCCATTGTGGTACAATAAAAGGATTTTCTATTCTATTCTATTCTATTCTATATCAAGTCTTTCCGCTGTAAGCGAATATTTGTATCAGACATGTCATAAAGTGTCGAAGGAGGGAGCATTGGCAGTAATAAGGTCAAAGACAGACCAATTAGAAATGCACCCATCAGGATTTTAATCTGCGTAATTTGACATCCTATACTTCAACTCTTATTTAGACCTATTTCAGTTTCTTATTAAAAGGTATGTCACACATAACAGAGAAGAGTCGTTAAACGAGTTCTTTGATTGGAATTAGAAGATTATCTAAATTAATGTATCCCTGATCTTTTATTAAACTCAAAAACTTGAGGGCCATCTCCATCAGGGCTGGAAACTGACCTTTTCCTAATATCAACCAATTTCTATGACCACCTCTAAAAAATATGCACAATCAAAACAATGCTTATCAACCATCTGAGCTCTCAGGAACATCGCTGACAGTTTTTCAGGCCTCTCTGGGATCTAAAATCTATTTCAGATGGAAATCAACATCACTATTGTTCACAACACTGCTGGATAGCATTTCAGCGTCAGCCTCTGGACACTATTAAAAAAATACCCTGAAGTGTTCACATCCATCTCAAAAACCAGCGAGGGACATTCCAACAAGGATTGAGGGGGTGAATAGATGTGAATGTTGATGGGTTTATTTGTATGCTGGCGAGCGCTCTGATAAGCAGTCAAGTCCCTCTCCAAACTTGCGATCAATGACAGACAGAGATGGAAAGAGGACCAGGTTCCCATTCAGCACATTGTGGGTTTAAGTTTTGAATAAAAACAAGTAAGCATGCAAGCACACAGAAGCTTGCGAACGCAGCGAGCTCCTTCAGGAGCCTCCCTTTTCATGGAGATCTTTTGTCTCTGAGTAATGTCTGGTATGCTTGGATGTAAGCTTTGCTCAATGACCTGATTTCTATGGGGCTACCGAGGCACAGATCTCTCTCGCTCTCTGTGTGTTTGTGTCTACATTCATCTGCCTGTAAGGCCTTCCTCTGGATAAAGCACAGGACTTAGCTGGGCAGACAGACACAGACTGAGACAATCCAGTAAATAAGAGGGCAGGGGACCAAAAGAACACGAACAAAGTCTAGCATGAAGTAAACAGAATGTGCCGCAGGGAAAACGTAATTAAATGAGGAAACTGTTTTTTTTACTTTGCACAGTAATTGTAACCCAAAGAAGCGGTTAATAAACTGCTTCTTGCCTTATAGTCCTACTGGTTTCAGGATATTGAAACAGACGTATAAAAAAAGTTTAAAAGACAAAATTTACCTCGTCTTTGTACGAATACCCTGAGGAGGGGATGAGCAGAGTCGACCGCCTTCGAAAAGTTCTCATCGTTGTTAATCGGCAGGAAGTCTCCATGGGTGTCGGCGTAGCCAATCATCACCTCCATATTAGCAAGGCGGTGAATATGGAGGATGAGTTTGTAGAACTCCTCGAATTTACCAGGCTTGACCCGGTTTACAGAGAACCGCCGGAACTCTGCTCCATACTAAGAGAAAGAAAACAACAAAAAATATGAAGACATTAAAACTAAAAGAGGAAAAAATGCATAAATAAGTGGTTAATGGATGTGAAACAAGGTACAGCTGAGGAAGCTTCTGGACAAGCCAAAAATAAAAACATCCATTTATACTTTGGCTCATCTGTAAACAGTTTTCCAAAGTATTTCTCAGACTTTACATCCAAAAACGTAGAAAGAAATAATCCCAATTTATAGGAGCAACTTAATTTCCTTTTCACCGAGTGTCACACACACTGCTTTCATGCTAAACTACTGCTTAACTCAAATTAGCACAGACTCAAAAAAGGCACATATGCGGAACCAAGAAAGAATTTTATTGCTTTTATGCTCCAAGTGTCAATCTTAAATTATATTTTAATTGTTTTTAATATCAAAGTTAACCCAAGAAAACACAAAGAGCATTTAATTGACTAAATGAAAATACTGAAACGCCATTTCTTGTGGAAACAAAACCATCTTGTAAAATCATGTCTCAACTGTGTTGACCAGTTCATTAACCATACTCAGACCTCATCACTACCCAATAATAATCTATAGAAGACCAAGAAATCTAAAAATAACAAAAAAAAGTTATTGAGAAACCTTGTCAAAGCCTGCAGTTAAATCCATTAGTGATGTTGTTGGGTGGCCTTAACACGCTTTAAAACCTGTAATGTGCCTTAACTACAAATTTCTGCAAAGTGCATTGGACCTCATTACTTCCACAGGTCCGTTAATGACATCGCAAAGCATCACAAACGCAGAATGGCAGCTATTTCCACCAAGGAGGCTAGAAGTTTTTTTTAATAATTGGGTGGCAATAACATTTCCACAGGCTTGGATAAGATGGGAATCATTTGTTTTCTTGGGTTATCTCTGACTAACATTAAAAACATTGACTGGTTAGAGATATTAAAGTGCGAAAAAAAGCAAAAATCAGAAGGAATCGTCGACAAGGCTTCCACTTCTAATTCACAGCACAGCTAGGCCTTAAGTACACCTCTTAAAATGAGTAAATCACCATCAGAAGTTCTTTTATTTATGTTTTCTCTGCAAAGCTAACACTTTATATCTTATTTATGTGGAATAATGAATAATGTGGAATAATGAATAAGAAGTAATCTGCTAGCTCTTATTATTATTAACCCACCACTGTCAGTAGCTAAAGACCAGTCAATTGAACCAAACCTTTTAGATCATCCCTTAAACATTACAAATATAAAATTTGCACTTTTTCCTAAAGTTTGAACTGTTAAGAGTCAGAGCTTTTTAGATTTCCCTTTAATTGGAGCACATAAAGGATAGAAATCAGCATTGTATTAGAGGTAAAATCAGAACAATGATGCATTAAAAAGGAATTTCCTTCAACACTGAATCAACTGCAATTAAAGCGTTTTCAGCCCGTCTTCCACCGAATGCAGCTCAAATTTCAAACGTTCGTGTTACTCAAGCAAATACTAACACTGCGAACGTTAAGCTTTGTCCTTCCACTGAATTTACACACTGAGGGTGCTAAATTCCTCTAGTCGCAAAACCAGTTGTGACTTAAGGTTCCCTGGTCTTATGCCAAAGCAACAAAAGCTGGTAGTGAAAGAGACATGCAGATAAGAGGAGGCTGTCTGTATGAGCGAGTTATGTGGTAGAGATGGTGACAAAACGGCAATCAAATGGTAAAAATCTAATTATCGGAGCTAAGGTAGCATACCCACTGTTTAGCTGAGAAAACAGCAAACAGCTGGTTAGGTAATGGGGCACATAGGTACTTTGATTCGGTGATCTTAAACGGTGGAAACTTGTTTAAATTTCTCAAATCAGTTCGCTCGTCTCCCCCTTGACCAATTCTCTCATCCATTATCCCTAACAGTACAGAAGTGGAGATATTCTCAGCTCTGAAAAAACAAAAACAAAGGTACAACATCGTCGGGTATAGAAAACAATTGCAGCAAAAACAGGACATGTGCAAATTATTTTTTTTTGGGATTTATGAGTATCCAGAGCAGACTCAAGCTTGTACAGGTAGAACATGTAACCTTAGACCTTAGCAAAAGCAAACTCTTTCAACAAATTGAGTGAAAATGCACAGATCATCATTTGGTGCAAATTTGACCTGCAAATACAAATTTTAGCTCATCTACAAGAAGACAAACAGCAGTTTTTCTTCCCAGCTGTCCTGGGATGAGTGGTCAATAAACACACATACGGATCAGAGTCGTCACCATAAAAAAAGAATAAAAATTTTTTCAAAACAAAGATAAAAATAATCAGAGTTTTTTGTACTAGCTTTAGCATTTGTACTTTTTATTTTTATTATAATCCCCCCCCCCCCGGGCAAATGAATTCAACACACTGAAGTAAACAGATAAATGGAGGCAGAAGATGTCTTTCAGTCATCAATGCTCACATTCAGCGACACACAGGGGCTCTTTCAAGCTGGGCACCGTTTTATTCATAACACCTGTCCCATAAACAAGGAACCCGAATCTGAATCACAAATACTTTAATAATACCAGGACAAAATTACTTTCGTTACATTACTCCATCTGTAATAGACTGACTATAGGACCAGTTTGATATAACACAATTTCATACAATATATATACATAAAATTAGGGGGTCCCCGCTCCATCTCGCCATCAGTTTGGGGGTCCTTGGCTTGGAAAATGTTGAAGACCCCTGTTTTAGAGAATATAATCCTTTGAAAAGTTGATTTTCAAAACCTAGCAAATTAAATGGCACACTGGTGGTAAAATCTAAATAGAATTCATCAGATCAACTAGATCTTCCAGTTATCTTCAAAACGCCTTGCTTGCCCTCTCTCACGAACCCATAGCCTCATAGATCTCCACATGGAAAACAATCTATAAATTAGATTTTCTTTTTCTGATTTAAAATAACTTTTGTCTGTGCTTCATCTGACCTCATTTTGAACACTCTTGTGATGCTAAAAATAGATAATTTTGACCTGGTTACTTATTATTACACACTAGGGCTAATCAAAGTGATCAGGTCGGCACCAAAAGGCCTTCCAGGACAGACCACTGGGGCTTCCTGACATCAACACTGAAATCTATATTGAGCAAAAATACACAACAACAAAAACCTAATGACTCATACATACAGAGATACAGCCAAAACATGATATCACACCACGATAAAACCGCAGCACTAGAGAAGAGCAGCACTTCTGGGGTGTGATTCACAGGGCTAATTTGTAGCTGTATCTTACTGTAATCATGAGCTTACATTTTATGCGAGTAGGGAAAACAGTCAGGAGAGAAAAAGAAGGAGGGGAAAAAAGCGCCAAAATGGTAGCAGAGGGCCCGATATATTAGCCACCTCTGTAATTAGAAGATGATGGATGAATTTCAGAGAAAACTTAACAGGAATGTTAGATCAGAGGATTTTCCAGCCAGGTTGAGTCAGCTTTATACTAAATAACTAAATAATGCCCAGTTTGGACCTGAATGATCATTAAAGTGATCCCACACCTGGGGATGACAAAAAAAAAGCAGATCGGCAGGTTTTTTCAACGTTCAGTGGAAGCTGTTAGCAATCTAAAGGGAATCCACAACATATAACACCTGTAATTAATTATGCAACACTTCAACATGATAAATCTGAGTGGCCAAAACCTTCCTATCAGAGATCTCTGCCCACATTGTGATTGTGAAAGCCGTCTTGGTACAGTATGTCATATTCGGTGTGCTCAATCAGTTTTCACATGCAGAACCAACCCCAAGGCCTGAAGCAAGCCTGAACAAGGCAAGATTATTCACAGGCTTAAATACTTCAACTCTAAACTAAGAATACATCACCTCAAACATGACATCACTTGTCCTGATGGCCTATCAGGACGAAGTAATGCCAAACAGGCTCAAACATGCCTGGAAGTCAACCAACTGACACACAGGAGAAAAAGAAAGATAAGTTACATCTTAGTTTGGTCAACAATTGCTTCTTTTTCTTGCAGTTGCAAGTCAAGTTCACCTTACTGTTTTCTTTTTTATATATAGCTGAAAATGCAGAGAGCAGATATGAAATGCCAGAGAAACTATATATAAAGATAAATAGGTTATTTTTCATTAATAAGGGCACAGTAAAAATTTACTCGATTATTTAAAATAAGGAATTTGAGGCAATGTGGGAAAAACTTCACCACTCCTTTCTATTGATTTAAAAGACAGCAGTAAGTGCTTTAGGTGATTGAAACCAGTTCCTCACTGAGGCTCCCTGACAGGTAGCCAGACACCTCCAGTGTTATCCCAGATAAGCTTATCACTAGAAAGTTTCCTTTGACAAAACCAAACAAGAACCGCAAACAACCAGGCACACAAAATCAATCAGAGACACAAAACTATCAGGAGAAAAGAGAAACAAAAGCGTCACTTCTGGAAACGAGGAGGAAGCTTATCTTATGTTAACAATGTTTTCTCCTATTTTTTTTTGTTTTTTTTTACATATTTGTAAACAATGGCTGGCTTGTATTGATTGTTTCTGAGAGTTAGAAAGACAAACGGCCTTTTCATAGTAAATATTGCTGCAATTCATGATCAGTTCCCATCTTATCTTCAAAAATAATATGGGAGCTGCTCCCCGGGCGCCTCACAATGGCAGCCCGCTGCTCTCCAAGGGGATGGGTTAAATACAGGGAGTTCATTTCGTTTCTCTGTACTTGTGACAGTGTAATGACAATAAAACTCTGGAAAAGAAGAAAACAAAATCTCAGATTGAAATTTTACTTCCCAAGCAAATCAAGCTATGAACCATATGAAAGGTTTTAATCTAGCTAAAGTGTGTCAGAAAAGTTGTGGATGTGTTAACAACGAAGGACAGACTGCAGCAGTTCTGGCTGAAGTTTATTCCAGATTAGATGTGGTTTAAAAAAATAAAAAAGGGGGAAAACATCAAATTATACCAGATCTGAAAACAAATTATGCATGATTTTAGGCTACGTTCACACTGCAGCCTGAGGTGACCCAAGTCCGATT